AGCTGTATCACTTCTTTAGATTGATGATTTCCGTCATCTAAGTACTCCATTTAAGTGCATTACCTATGAGACTCTAAAGATATTTTGTCATGAGCTTGAGAACGTGATAGGGGGAGGTGAATCCAAACGCTATGGAAGGAAGTGATAATGGACTGTAGAGTGGAGAAAAGCAAGTTAGCTTCTTGGCTGTCTCATGAAGAGGGACTTGCCAAAACCATTGTAAACAAATCCAGGGTTGAAACGACTTTGTTATCTCCGATGTTACGTTAAACGATCACCCAGTCCAGGAGGTGGGAAGAGTTGGAATAGTTTTCCACGTTTAACTTCCTAAAGTCAATCACTGGGCGACCAAGATACAATCCTTCTAAGTTATAGGATCAAGGGTGCATTTCCTAAGGTGAATTGCTGGGTTGCAATAACTCCATCATCAAGATTTGATTGATCAATTCTTCTGCGACAGCAACTTGTGAATGAGGCATTCTGTACGCAGGTATGTAGATAGGTCTAGTACCAGTTCAGTGGAATACGAATGGGACAATAAGTTCGTTATACCCATCTTCTCACCTGGTGTTAAGGCAATGGCTTTACGACGTTTGTTCAACAGGAGTCAACAAACGCTTGACTTCAATCTGGGAAGTCAGTGGGAGCTAGTCTTTCTCCTCAAGGTGGAAAGATTGATCCTGTGAAGTGGATGAGGTTCCCCGGCCGAGATTCAGTAGTCGTACAAGTTACAGTAACCAGTGTACAGTAGATGACTCATTCAAATCGTCTGTGTGAATCACTGTCTGTATTCATATGTTGTTGACCACAGCAGTATTCAAAACACCCCCTCACATAGGGTACTGGGGTTAGTTAGTCTGACGAGAGTGAGGAAAGGAGGCAGTTCACGGTGGGTTAGGCTCTTACCATACCTCACCGTTATAATATCGTACTACCAGCCTCGTGGAGTATTACTTTTACCCTATCCATCGTGTTCGAACCCCACACATGATTATGAATGTTGCAGCGAGGAGAGGCTGGAAGCAGTGGAGATGTCATGTTGAGGGCAATGTGTGGCGTGAATGTATACAGAGTATTCTTAGTGTGGAAGTTAGGAGGAGGTGTGGGATTGCCAAAACTGTTGTCCAGAGGGCTGAGGAAGGGTTGTTGAGGTGGTTCGGGCATGTAGAGAGAATGGAGCGAAACAGAATGACTTCAAGAGTATATCAGTCTGTAGTGGAAGGAAGGCGGGGTAGGGGTCGGCCTAGGAAGGGTTGGAGGGAGAGGGTAAAGGAGGTTTTATGTGCAAGGGGCTTGGACTTCCAGCGGGCATGCGTGAGCGTGTTTGATAGGAGTGAATGGAGACAAATGTTTTTTAATAGTTGACGTGCCGTTGGAGTGTGAACAAAGTAACATTTATGAAGGGATTCAGGGAAACCGGCAGACCGGACTTGAGTCCTGGAGATGGGAAGTACAGTGCCTGCACTCTGAAGGAGGGGTGTTAATGTTACAGTTTAAAAACTGTAGTGTAAAGCACCCTTCTGGCAAGACAGTGATGGAGTGAATGATGGTGAAAGTTTTTCTTTTTCGGGCCACCCTGCCTTGGTGGGAATCGGCCAGTGTGTTAATAAAAAATAATAATAATAATATGTGTGTGTGTGTGTGTGTGTGTGTGTACTCACCTATTTGTGGTTGCAGGGGTCGAGTCCTAGCTCCTGGCCTAGCTCCTGGTGTGTGTGTGTGTGTGTGTGTGTATGTGTGTGTGTGTGTGTGTACTCACCTATTTGTACTCACCTATTTGTGGTTGCAGGGGTCGAGTCATAGCTCCTGGCCCCGCCTTTTCACTGATTGCTACTAGGTCCTCTCTCTCCCTGCTCCATGAGCTTTATCATACCTCGCCTTAAAACTATGTATGGTTACCGCCTCCACTACTTCACTTTCTAGGCTATTCCACGGCCTGACAACTCTATGACTGAAGAAATACTTCCTAACATCCTTTGATTCATCTGAGTCTTCAACTTCCAATTGTGACCTCTCGTGTCTGTGTCCCATCTCTGGAACATCCCGTCTTTGTCCACCTCGTCTATTCTGCGCAGTATTTTATATGTCGTTATCATGTCTCCCCGACCCTCCTGGCCTCCAGTGTCGTCAGGCCGATTTCCCTCAACCTTTCTTCAGGACAACCCCCCGAGCTCGGGACTAGTCTTGTTGCAAACCTTTGCACTTTCTCTAATTTCTTGACGTCTTACTAGGTGTGGACCAAACTGGTGCGCATACCCATAGGGCCTGACGTAAATGGTATACAATCTTGAATGAATCCTTACGATATCGGTCCTATCTATCCATTTTTCCCGGGCGCCCGTATGCTGCGCATTTTATCTGATTGTGGCCCCTCGGGAGATATCCCGGTGTTATCCCAACCCCCAGATCTTTTTCCTTAGTGAGGTTTGCAGACTTTGCCACAAAACTATATTGTGTCTGGGGTCTTCTTTGCCCTTCCCAATCTTCAGATTTTGCTTTTGGGGGGGGTTAAACTAAGGAGCCAGTTGCTGGGAAACCAGGCTTGCAGCCTGTCCAGTCCCTCTTTGTATCCGCCTGATCCTCATCCATTTAATTTCTTCTCATTAATTTCACATCGCCGCAAACAAGGACACTTCTGAGTCACCCTTCCGTTATGTCTTTCACATTACCAAGAACCACGGTCCTAGGACTGACCCCCGGGGAACCCCGCTTGTCACAGGGCCCACTTTGACACCTCACACGTACCAACTCGTTTGCCTCCCAAAGGGATTCTCTTATCCTTTGCAGTCCCTTTTCCTGTTAGTTGCCTGATCCTCTAGCTTTTGCAGTAACCTTTTGTGGGGAACTGGTCGAAGGCCTTCTTGCGCCAAAAAAAATGCAGTGGGATCCACCCCTTCCCCCTCTTGTCTTCTTCTTCACCTTGCAAAAAATCTAAAGTTTGTGAACAGGGTTTTCCCCCCTGAAACCCGCTGGTTTTTTTCCAGGTGCTCCACCACCCCTCCCGAGATCTTCTCCATGCCTTTTGTGTGTGTGTTGTGTGTGTGTTTGTTGTGTGTGTGTGTGTGTGTTTTGTGTGGGTGTTGTTCGTGCCAATAGTAAATCTGGTCAGAGCAAAACTCATTTAAAAAAATCCTTTTTAAAATTTTCCTTTTACTTTTAAAAATATATAAAAATATATATATATATATATATATTTATAAATAATAATATATATAATATATATATAATATATATTTTTTGTTAATTAAAATTAATTATTTGGTAACATTTTTGGTGGTGATTTTAAATTTTTCCCAAAGAACACTGGGATATGCATAACAATTTTAATTGGGGTTTTAGAACCTTGTTTTGTTTTTAGCGGCGTTGTTAATACTCGTTTCGTTATGCGTTTATTCGTTTTTAGTGCTCGTTCTTATAGCGCTCGTTTGTTATAGGGGTAATCTTTCCAGGGCCCCCAAATCAACCACTTAAAATGAAAAATAAAATTAAAAAATTAAAAAAAAAAGCGTAAATTATTTAAAAAATCCTGAAAAAAAGTACTGAAATCATTAACACGAATAAAAAAAAAAATTGGCACAAAAAAAAAAAAAAAATACTGTTCTTTAAATTTTATTTAGAGGGGAAAAATTACGAAAGAGTTGGAATGAGGGTCATCCTCCCAAACCTCTGTATTTAAATCCTATAGACAATTGCTTTTACTTTATTAACTTTTTTAAAATTTTCAGTTGTATAGGAAAACCGTTTTTTTTTAAAATTCGATATAAAACCTTCTGTTATACAAAACCCTGGCCACTGTATTTTTATCCCACCCAGCTGAGCTGTAAGGACATCCAAGACTTGTCTGCTTATTTTGTTGGGTGCACCTAACAGTGCCTCCTCGTGTAGATAGAAAAATGATGAGGTGTCTTAGGCAATAAAGTTTAGTTTAAGTTCTTTTCGTATTATTGTTCTCAAACTGCTGACAGCCCAAAATTTTTTTTTACGTCCTCTTTGAAAACATTTAACTTAGAGTAGAGAGAGAAGAGAGCCCGAGCCTTTAGCTCATAAGACTGTCATTCCCATTTGCCTCCATTGGGGCGGGATGGCAGACCAGAGAGGCCTAGCTTGTGGCTAGGCCTTGGGACAGTTGGTCCCAAAGATGAGGAGGTACTTGTGCCTCCTCCCATGGGAGACTTAGGTCTCAGACACTCCCTAAAGAGGGAGCCAAGGCCGGGCCACCACTTGGAAAAGGCCCGGGCCGGGAGAATACCTGCGAATCTTTAAGAAGAAGATTTAACTTAGCCCATTCATCAGTTCTGTCATGCATCTGAAGACAAATGTGAGATGGAATCCACAGGTCTACTCCGACTCAATTGTCCGTGTTTTTTTTTTTTTTACAACATTGTCAATGAGAAGGTACATCTATCACTGTAAGAAGAATTTTTGTTAAAGTCCAATTTTTAGAGGAGTTGGGGCCTTTCCATTTCAATATCTACCTATAAATACTGAAATGCCTTTTGTCTGTTATTAGCAAATTGCTAGTTTTATTTGCCTTTTTTTAAGTTATAATATATCTAATGTTAAATGTTATTATAAATACATTCATGAAGGGGAGGTGGCACTAAATTCGTAGGGGCCATACATGGTCTGGGAGAAAGGGAGGCAATCATGTTCGATCCAAGGTAGGGGATGAGAGATTCAATTTCTTGGATTAAGAACATATCACCAGCATCAATGAACTTCACCCGAAGTTACCAAAAGTACGTAAAACTCCTGCGTGTGGCTGGAGTGATGCTTGACACAGTGTAGATTACAAGTTTGTTTATATCCGACACTGTCAGGCAGGTTGGTAGCCCTACAGTAAGACATATCATTCTTTTATATATAGATGCTTGTAACGATCCTGATTAAATAAATTAAGAAGTTGATTGCTATGCATTAGTAAATAGAGTGGTCATTTATTGCACAACCTTAATATAAGAGAGACGAAAAATGAATATGGGAGAGCAAGGGGTGCCAACCTCTCTACCACAAGAAGGTACAAGTGGTTAACATATTTTAGTGATTTACTACAAAAACTACAAACTGTTTCTATAAATATATTATGTTATATGGCTTGCAAGCATCAGAGACTTGTTGTGTGCATGGTTACATCAAGAAGAGTGTATCATTCCATGAGAAACATGAGTATAGAGCGTGTGAAGTGGTGGGAGGAGCAGGTACAGCTGGTGTCCTCTCACACGCCCGTCACTCACACAAAAGTCACCGCTAAATTTGAACCTTCCAAGTTCGCTCGACGTTCATCCCTCGATGTTGAACAGCAAATCAATAAAGTATGGGAAGCCAAATGTGCGCAGAACCCTCGCTTATATAATGGAGATAAGTTTCGACTGGCAGGATGGAACAATGAAGAAGGGAAGTGGGTGTTACATATAGGTCTGACCTGCTACAAGGACCTCTGTGGTACCAACCTGGCTCAAAATTATCGATGGATTCAGGAAAAGGGTACTAAGGACTTCGGAAATATGCAAGCCTACATGTCAGATCCAATAGGTAAGTTTTGTTTAGAATTCAGTTTTTTTTTTTTTTAGTTCATGTATAAGCATTGGTTTGCCTTCGGTGTAGTGCTACAAAAAAAAATATATATATATATATGCTAGTGAGATAAGATTTTGTTCGGATTTCTAAGCCCGGAGAGTTAGCCATCCAGGATAAACCAAGAAAGACTGCATCATTGAGGGCCTGTCTGTCTTATTTCCATTGGGTCCTCAGTTATGTCTCTCAGGATGCGACCCACACCAGTCGACTAACACCCGGGTACCTACTTGCTTGCCAGGTGAACGGGACTACAGGTGTAAGGAAACACGCCCAGTATTTCTACCCTTGCCGACGATCGAATCACACACTCAGCGTGTGAAGCGAGAGCGTTGCCTACCAGGCCACGGGTCACTGTAGTAGAGGGTCTCCCCTTCCTCCGATTAGATACGATTGCCTCCCATTCCCCAGGCCTTACATGGCTCTTACGGGTTACCAGGACGTTACCACGTCGTTGAAACCTGCATCGATGGGTTGATTGAAGATGTGATGTTGGACATCTTCACTTCTTTCGTCACTTTGGCCACATTTCACGTCACCAGGCTTGACCACCACTCGTCCTCAAGTTTTGCTTGTGAACTATATCCGGGGATAATGTCCACAGTGCGGAGAATTACTGGCGATACCTAACTTAGCAGAGATAACTATTAGTTATCATTTCAACACTATCTTTGCTTCAGCTCTCTTCAGATCGTGTATTCATTCGGAGTACACAATCTAACCAAGAATTTACGTGTCTGCGTTGTGTGATGGTAAAGTTCTGCCACGATTTGCTTTTTTTTTTTTTTTTTTTTTTATTCGCCGGTATTCCTCACTCTTGACAATTGACACCAACTTTTTAACTAAATTTTTAATTTATAAATAATAAATGTTCACTACACATATGGCTATATCCTATTATTATTATTATTATTATTATTATTATTATTAAATTCATGGAGAAATGCTAAATCAGTAGGAAAGTAAACAGGTGTGATTCGAGGAAAGGGAAGGTATCACATAATCCTTCATTCGAGAGCCCTTCACCCTTCCATCATGAAGGGGTTATAGATAGTATGATGACAATAATTCCTACTAAATATTGAGCATTTTCTCTACTCACTGTCACGGTGAAGGGTTCTTAATCATAAAAACTGGAGCTACCCCACTGGCATCGCTTCTGATTACTTCCCATTTTCGCAGGCTCTGTGTGACCCCTACAAATTCAGCGTTTTCTTATGTAATAGAAGTGCTAAAACCGTATGTATGGGTTATACAGCCCCATGTAAAAACAATAGTGCTCATTTAATGTTAACTCGAATTTACTGTTTACATTATTATTACTATTATTATTGTGTTCATGCATAAAAATAAACCTGAAGGGATCATACAGCTTCTGAGGAATGGCGGGTAATTAGGTTTGATCCGAGAAAAGGGAGGGTAGTTCCAAATTCTTAGATCACGGGCCTTCAACCAGCATCAAAGTATAATGGCTGTTGATTCCTAGAGGCTAGATTCGTAGAGGCTTAGTAAGGTAGTTGCTAATGTGGCTTCACGTCCAATATAGCCGACATGTAAAACCTCAATAGTCGATGGTGGTGACTATGCTAACACAGACTTATGTCTCACCATAAGCTGGAGCCACCATTGCAGTACAAACCAGTGTTCACTTTATACCATGGATGTATTATTATTTCTTACTATAACCTTGTACAATGTCATATAGATCAGGGTAGCCGCAATATGCAGTGTTCTAAATTCTACTAATAACCCTCTGTAGAATAGAAAATTACTTAAATGAACTTTAATTTTAATAGGGTCAGATATTTTGAGCTGACACGGCACGCACTGAAAATAAAGTTCAAATAAGCTATAGAAACATTTTTTTTTATTGTGGTGCATAAATGAAATTCAATACAAAGGGATGTGATGGAGGTCTACATAACACATGGATTTTAAAGTAGAAATACCAGCCCCAAAACAGCAGAGAGGAAGTCACTCCAGTTAATCGAAGTGCATAGGCAGGGTCCAAGAACTATAGCTCAGCTCTCAGAGAAAAAGCAAATACCTGAGGCCACTTGGTTACAAGACAGCTGTCACCCGAGGCTACGTGGTATCAGGAATTTCTTGTCATACGTA